CCGCAAAAATCCATTTTCTGCCCCAGTGGCTCCAATTTATGAAAAGGAACAAAAGATTTTTGGGCATGGAGCTGGTCGTGCCCAAGATAAATGTTTGCAACCCCCAAAAACCCACTTTGCATATTGATGCTTTCAACGTTTTGGACATTAAGCGACTTCCTTGACTGGCTGCTATCAACAAGCAGCCAGGAGTCGCCGCCCAGCAGCTGCCCAGCCGGGACTAGAACTACATCAAACAGACACTTACCACATCGCTACCATAAAGGCTCATGCCAACGCCGACGCCAACGATGCTTCCGTTTCCGCCAGCGCCGTTGGCCGTTGCCTGCTGCTGAACGACGGGCCCATTGCCGGGCGCTGTTGCTGAGGATGTGGCAACCAGACCCATGCACGTCACCGGCTGCAGCAGCCCATCTCCAGTAGCGACTACGCTGTGCGCAAAAATGGGTGGCGGTGGCGTGGGCGAAAAGGTGGCCAATTGTGATGGATGTGACATGGTGACACCGGTGATGGTGCTGTTCGTTCCAAACATGGGACTCGTTGAGTACATGGGATGGTGTGCCAGATCGATCTATATGTATGCGGGTTAAAGAGCATAGATGAGCGAGAGAGAAAGAAAGAGAGAAAGCGAGAGAGAGAGAGAAGCATGTTATGATTAATATGCGTGAGTTTCGTATTTGATTTCAATATAGCTCCGCGGGCTTATCAATTTTTAAAATAATATAATTACTTTTAAAAATTGGGGGCATTTCTAATAATTTTAATATATTCAATTAAACAAAACATTCAAATAACCTCGTAAAACTTCTTAGCTTACAATTAATTATTCGTTTAGATTTATAAATATTTACTGAGTAACCCTCGTTGTCCGTGTGTGTGCCGCTAATTACAGTGGCTCTGCTCTGTTTACTTACACACGCAAATTATATATGTACACCTGGCGGTGCCTTGTGTACGCATGTGTGGCTGCCCCGTGCCACATGGAGGCACCGCCATCACCGGGCTGCCTCTTTTGTTTTTGTTATTGTGATTGTTGTTGATGTTGGAATTTGTTATTGTTGTTTCTAGTTATCATTGCTGCGTTTGGCGTTCACCTCCAATTTGCTGGCTACAATAATAGCCCGCTGTGGGAGGATTTGCCAGTGTGAGTTCGAGTTAGCTAAATGTTTGTGCGTGGCATATTAACGCTTATACACGTGCGAATGTGCATATGTGTGTGTGCCAGTTCACAAATGTATGGTCAGAATTTATGCTATTGCCATAATGCCCCCAACGTGCTTTTAATGAAATTAATTTTCAACGCTAAATAAATTCAAATCGCATGGCATAGATCGCAGTCTAAGACCCAGACTTTTGTAGATGAATAATAATGATAAATAAAATAAAACATTTGCTCCCATATTTCTAACGATAGCTCACGTAGATTTTATTTAAGTCCACATAAAAAATGAAAAACTGTCATATTAAACACGCATGCAGCAGCCTTACAGATAACCAAAAGTTTTTGGTGTTCATAAGATTATCTAAGGCATACAAAGTCTCGTAAATGAGAGGCTCGGTCGGTCAAGATATTGTCAAAAACAAAAACTGGTTTCTTACAAGATAGTTTCTAATAATAATAATTTTTCGAAGTTGTAATTGTCACAAAGCTTTAAAAAAAAAATTCACAAATTTTCTTAGACGTTGATCTGCCCTTACATGCAATATGTTATATAATTATAAACATAAATACCGACCGGAACGTATATTTTTTTAAATATTTTTTAGAGTTTTTTATAGGCTGTTGCCTTCTGGTTTGTTTATTTTAGTTATACAAGGTAAAACACTAAAAATCGAATTTAACGATTCATAAAAATATGTAAATATTTATATATTTAATTTTAAGTTTATAAGTTTTTTATATAACAACACACTGACAAAACATAGCTAGAATTTTATGTACACTTAAAAAAGTTTCAAATTATCTGAAAATTCACTTAGAATAAAATCTGTACAGCTTAAGTCTTGAAAGTTTGTGTTTCTAAATTGATTTATCATGCGCAAGCATTAAAATGCAATTTCGCTGTCATAAATTTCTTTTGTTCAATACGAAAGTCAAAGCTGATTAAATTATTTGTTTTTGTCGCCCCTTCTGCCAACCAGTTAAGACCCCAATGGCCCGACACACACATTGTAAAAACTCTGCCGCAAAGCGCAGTTTGAAAACTTTTAAAACAAACAACATCAGCAACAACAACAAGTACAACTATAAAAACAACTGCAAAAGCTGTAGCTGAAGCTGTACAAAGCACATACATATATAATCGAATTAAAATAATTGCCATAAAAATAAAACAGAGAGCTAAAATCGACGGCAAACATTTCGCCTGCTGGTCAGAGAAATGTGTCGTGTACAACTTTTCGATAAATGACAATAAAGCCATACAATGTCATTAGGTGAATGGTTTGGCCTCGACTGCTCCCTTGTTGCTGCCATTCAATGTGTTTGTTGTTTTTGTAGTTGTGGATGTAGTTGCTGTGTTGTTCCCCATAAAAGTTGTTTGCAGTGCGCACATTGAAAACACACACACACAGCCAAGCACACATACAAAATTGAGCTTAAGTGCATTTTAAAAGCAGCCTGCCCTGGTGCTGAGCCCCCGAAAACATCCATTCACAACTACAAATGCCACAGGACACAACATGAACATAACTCAAGTCATTACAATAATTGTTGAAATCAAAGCAGGCCATAGACAAAGCACCAACAGGAGCAGGCACCATTCACTGGCCAGCAAAATCGGTACATAAACTTGTCTAAATTTGAAGCCAACCAACATGCCAGGTGGAGTACTCGCACCGACTCACCTCAAGTAAAGTTGCAATTTGTGTTTCACAGTAAAATAGTTTCTCTCAGTCGAAGTAGTTTATTTTCTGATATAATTATTGAAAAACTAGCATGACAAATATTTGTAGAACACAGTTTATTGTGTGCTTTTTTTTTAAATGAATCAATATGGCTTCTTTTTTTCTTATGATGGAATTGTTTCTGAAAATTGTGTTTTATTTTCTTCAAATGTATTCTCATTTCAATCTTTTTTATCTTTTTCTCTTTCTCGTTGAACGCTTTACAAACCTAATGTTCTTTTTGTTAGCGTATTCAGACTTCAATATGCCGTAACTAGATTTAGTTTCCTGCTCTGTTCGACTAGTATATGTATTACGTATACGTCTTGTAGGGTGACAAATGCATATTCAGTGCGAAGTGCTGCACCGGCTTGATTCAGTTTCGCACACACACAAACGGACGCACACACAAACGGACACACACACACACGCACTCACAAATATATGTACATATATCAAATCATATTGCAATTGCATCAAATTGTCTTCAATTCTGTTCCTGTTACCCGGCGTATGCGTAATTTCGAGCATATTTTTCGTCAATGGAAGAAAAATATTTGTGTGGAATGCATTGCATACTTTTTGGTGCCAGCTGTCAGTTTATTGATTTGCCAGCTGAAACTGGAAGTGACTGTGTGTGTTTGTTAGCCTAGTTTCAGAATGTGGTGCCAGTAATTGATTTTGCCCCAACTCTTGAGAAGTAATTAAAAATCTTGTGGCAGCTGTAATGAGTTATGTGTGGTAAGCTGAGGCAGCCATAAATAAAGCGCAACACATCACGTAAATGCAATAACAAACAAAGTTTTTCGAATTTATTAAAGCATAATACAAAAAAGAAAATAATAATAAATTAACAATGCATTGAACTAAACAACACTACTAAGGAAACACTTGCGCTTCAGACACGCGTCGCATAGCCCTGCATGTAGAGACCGCCAGACCCGCCCACATTATCGACCACAGCGCCAGCCACGTAGCTGCTGCCCGACGCCGTGGCCGCCTGTAAGTCCGCCAAAATTTCATCATCCATCATAACATTTACCTGCGAGTAGATGTTCGGCTCGGCACGCTTCAGCTCCGTCTGCCTGGGTCGTCCCAAGGTGGCGCTGCAATAGGGCGTCAAACGTTGGACACTGCCAACGCCGACGGCGTTGCCCACCAGTGGGGCAGCCAGCTCGCTATAGCTGAGCTCAGTCTGTGCAGAGAAAACAGAAAGAGGGAGAGAGAGAGACAGAGAAAGAGTGATGAGAGTATGAATATGTTGAGTCAATCGCTTTCAGTTTGCCCGGCAGTTGCATAATTGTCAAGTGTTAAGCTTGCCAGACTGAGGATAACTTGAAGCAGAGCACTATTTAAGCTGCATGTTCCACCGCACACAAGTTCGATAATATATGAGAATTTTAATGTAATTAAAAATGTGCATTTGGACATTAAACTGATTAATTTCTAAGGTTAGGAGCAATTACTACTGACCAAAATATTGATAACAGCTATCGATGCCAGGAGTGCGGAAATTTTTATTTATTAAAACATATTCATTAAGGCACTTTACCAATGAATGTCTGTTGAGGATTGGATCAGTCATCACATATGTTACCGATAACAGCTAATGATTGGCAGAGCCTCGATAAATGTGAAAATTTTAAATAATTTAAATAAGTTTATTTAAGCACTCTAGTAATTGGTAATTATTAAGGATGTAATCAGTCAAAACTTTTGCAACTTATAGAAAGGTAGCAGATATTGGTTGTCAATTTAATTACAAATGATGATGTTATAATGGATCCATGTTAAGGATTGGATCAAGCACTAGTTTTCTTAGAGGAGTTATCGCTAACACCTATCGAGAGATACTTTCATATAATTTTAATAACATAACTTCAATATCACATTGTCTTATTGACCTCCGTTTAGAATTGGACCATTCATTCCTTTTGTGATATATGCTATCGATAACAAAAATCGATTGCAAACTTTTTCTAATGATAAAGGTTGTCCGAAAAATAGCATAATGAATTCTAGCTGATCACGTATTCAAGAGAAACGACTTAGAAGTCAGTGATATGGTAACTTTAGTTAATGCATAATCGTAATAATAAATAATAATTATAATATTATTTTGAACGTCAATGGAAAGCTTTATTACAAAAACGCATTCCACCGTTCAGCAGAGAATTTCCAATTGTAAAAATGTCTGACTTCAATTACCAGCTATAAATCAACAAGGTGTTGTTGACCGTCGGAGTTTGTTTGTAAAAATTATATATCATCCTTAAAATCTGTCAGAAATTCTCGAGAATAATTTCTGAGCTCTGTTTTTCACACCTTACCAATTTTTTGTTGAAATGTCTTAAAAAGCTGGTTGGGTTTTTATGTGTATTTGCTATTTCCACGCCCACGACCGCTGCCGTTGCAAAATGCTCACATGCAACGCCTGTTTGTAATGTGTCTGGCTGTGTGCCCCCAATAGCTGGCTCACCATCCCGCCCCCCGTCAACTCACTTCTGCAGCCACTTCCAGTTAGCATCTGCAGCCCCGAGTCGAGCACAGCGCACACTTGCCGTTTATTGCATTTTGAGTTTGCAGGCTAACAACAACAAAAGCAACAACATTCATATACACAAGCAAATAAACATACACACACACACACACACACACACACACATACACACACACACACACACACACACACACACACACACACGTACACACAGTTGGATGAAAAAGGCGCGCATCCTTTGCCGGCTTTGCTCCTTAGCGATGCTGCTGGTCGTCTGGACGCTTGTCCGCCTGCAACTTATTTTTATTAAATTCGCAAATGGGAAATTTATATTGCTACAGCTGCTGCGGCTGCTGCTCGCTGGGCGTTTTGCTGCTTGTCCTTGTTGTTGCTAGTGGGCGTGGCATACACACTCACACACACACACACATATACACAGCAAATTTCTACTTAAATGATTTTCAAATTATGTTGGTTTTGCTGCAGCTACACCAGCCACGCCCCAGCTCGTTGTTTTCTATTTATCTGCGCGACCTTCACCGATTTTGTCTGCGAGTGTTTTGGGGCGGATTTTCGCTTGCATTTTAGCCAAACGATAAAATATATTCTTGTTGTAGGTGTTGCCCATGAAATTGCATAGAAGCCGCTAAAGATTTAGTATGAATTTTGGTTGTCGATTTTTAAATCATGTGGTATTATTTTTAGTAACCGGTTGGGGGAATTACTAGCTATAAATCCAAACAAGAAAATACTATTAATTTAATTAAAAGATTATTTCAAGGTTTAGAAAGATGAAACTGTTTTTTGCTCATCGAAATTTAAGAGTCGGGGTTTTAGAATATTCCACTCAAAAGTATGGAAAATTGGTGGAATATATTTGTGTACAATTTGCGGGTAGACCGAAACTTTGGATTTGTGGAAATTTATTCAAGACATTTTAAAAAAATGTAAAAAATGTGTGAGCAAAGTTTCTAAAATATTCTTTTATTTGCTTTTTGTTGACAGCTTACAGCAAAGCTGCAACTAGTTGATTGCTGCTTCAATGAACCCTGTGTCTTGTATCTGTTTGTCTGGCTGAGTGGAAAGCTGCATCAAGGCGTCCATCAATTGTGGCTTAAATAATGAACTGTTTACTGGCCATAAAAACCACCTAATCTAAAATATGCACAAAACAACAAGAACAGAAACACACGACGTGGCACACGACGAGTCTCCACTTGGATGGGGATACTCATATAGTTCGTGTGCTTTCGACTGCTTGGCAAGCAGGTGGGTCCATTTGTGGCCACTAGTTGGCCACCTGTCCCGGCTATAAATTAAGATGCCTGCCAACGCGACCATATTGTAAAAGGTTAAATGTTTGACTGCCGGCTAAGTGCGGATTAGGGCTCAGCCGGGCATAACTCACCTTCTGTTGCTGCTGTTGCTGCTGCTGCTGGTGCTGGTGCTGCTGCTGTTGATTGGCATAAGCGCCCATTTTGCTAACGGGTATAAGCGTATTATATTGTATATACTGGCCATGGCCTGTGGGCGGGCCAGACTTTTTATCGACTACCGCATACGTGGGCATAATGTGATCGTAGGTGCTGGAGGTAATCACGGCATTCTGTTCGGCCAACGCAGCCGTAGCATAGGCACGATTGTGGCCCTTTGTTGTCCACTCATCGTCCACATCATGTCCATCTGAAAAATGGTGCACAGCAGTTACTTGGGAACCAGCCAGTTGTCAGTTGTCAAGGGCAGCAGTAAAATAGAATACGATAGCTCACCTTGTGGTATTATGTCCGGATTCTTATCAATGCTATCCAGGCTGCTCGTCACGTGACACGTCTCCCGGCCAATGCGATGCATATCCTGCACTGATTGGCCCCCATTGTGCGCCAGTGTGCCGATTCCTAGGCTGCCATTGTTGTTGCTGCCAAGGATGCCGAGGTTACCGTTGCCGTTGGCTGTGCTGCTGCCCCCGTTGCCCGGATGCGAGTAATTATTGCGATCGCGTCCCGACGAGCCGCGCACACGCACCACGACAACTATGATGAGTGCCACCAGAAATACGCTGCCCACAATACCAGCCAGTATGCCAAGGAATGGCCGGATGTCCTCGATGACGTGGCCATAGGCACGCGGTTGGTCTGTGTGATACGAGTAGGAGGGGATGTGGAAAAGTAGGAAGAGAAAAATGGAAAAGAGAAAATTCGCAGGATAAGCGCGTGCTACAATAATTTTACGAGAATGCATTGCATATATTTTCTGCCTGTCTTTATTCTCACATATTTTTTCTACCCCCTTCACCTCGCCCCACCCGTTCTTCCCCCTATGTTCTGCTGTTTTCTTCTTTGCATTGTTTTATGAGCTGCTAACTACGTTCCGTTGTCGTTCCCGGTCCCGGTCCCGGTTCCAGTCCCGGTCCTGGTCCTGGTCCCGTCCTCATTGTTGTTGTTTTCGCTGTCGGTCCCAGTTCCTGTCGCACGTGCTTGGAATTTAGTGCCGCTTTAATGAGCTGCATGTGTGTTGGTGGCATTTGTGTGTGAGTGCGTGTATGTGTGTCCAGAACGTGTGTGGTCGGTTGTAAGCCGCTCAGTGTTAAGGTTGCTAATTTTTGTCTCAGCCGCCGGCGGCATGTCGAGCATTTTTAGTAGCCAAAGCTAAACCCAAAGTCTAAAACAGTTGTTCGAGAAATTCATCCGGATTTATTGTGCGGACTTAGTTAGGCAAATTTAAAGAGAAAATTATTTAACTCGTATGCAAAATAAGTGAAAAATTGAAAAATTCAATAGATGTAAAATGATAAATATATATAGAAATTTATTGAAATAAAAATGAGAAGCCACAAATAAAAATCAATTTAAATTAAACTAAATATTTGAATAAATATACCAAATAGGTCAAATGAAAATACCATACACAAAGTATAAAGAAATATAAGATTAAAGAAAATAAAATACGTTTAAAAAAATTAAATTTTTTTTAAGGTGATATTAAAATTTGATGACAATCATTATAGAATTTGCTATAAAATTAACTAAAATAATACATTTAACAAACAGTTTAAACACAAAAATATATTCAACAGAAGAAAAAACTATGACAAAAATAAATAAAAAATATCAAGCAAAAACATTAATAATGTCAAAAAAATCAAAATCAAATAAATGCTTAACTAAAAAACAAATATATGCATGAAGTTTGTATGGGAATTGGTACTCGATGCATAGAATAAAGGATTAAATGAAAATCTTAAGCTCAAAGTAGCCACTACCTTCATCGTACGCCCCTCTGCCCACGCCCACAAACTTATCATCTTCGCAAGCACAATCGCTTGTTGTTGGCTTTGATGTACTGGTAGTGATTGCTGCTGTTGCTGTTGCTGTTGGGCCATAAGCAGGCTTAAGAGCTTGATAGGACTTGGTAAATGTTATTTTAACTGAAAGCATGCAACCAAAGCGTAAGAAAGAAATGTTAGTGAAAGCAAAGAACTTAAAGCAAATTAAAAGACAAATCAAACCGTCAGGCTCAGGGAGTCATGAGTAACTGTAACTGCATTCCATGGTGCAAGACCAGCGTCAATTAATTTGTAGGCAACGACTGCCTGAACGGCCCGGCCAGGCAGGACGGGCAGGACGGGCAGGACAGGCAGGACAGACCAGGACATGCATGAAATTGCAAACCCATTTGCCTCTTCATACGCACCCGCAGTCAATTTGGGCTCTTTGCGATACCCTGGCTGACAACTCACCCGTTTGCTTCTCCGGATCCTTCAGTGTATAGACCTGCAATATGGTCGCATTGCTGCGTCCCTTGCTGTTGTGCGCTATGAGGAAGACATTGTAGCCCATGCCGGGCACCAGACCGCTCACCTCAAAGTACGGCTTCCTGTCGTCCGTGTCCCATGTAATGCGCGTCGAATCGATATTTGAATGTCCCAGGCAAAGACCACAAAAAGAAACGAGAACGATAAATGAGCATTGCAAGAGAACTACTGCAGCACTGCTTCGGCTGAAGGATTGGCCCAGAACTTTGTGTCCTGTGTCCATGCGTTTGCCACGCCTCGTTGAGTCTTGTTGTGTAATGCAAAAGTCACACGGCGTGTGATTCAGATTGCCATCTACTCACTTTGATTTGTAAATTTTTGGAAAGCGCGTCGTTCCATTCACATAAACTTCCATGATAAAGTCCTGCTGCAGGCCCCCATCAAAGCCCTCAATGCATTCGATTTGGAAGCCCGACGATGTCTGATTGAGCAGCGTGCAGTTCACCAACGGATCCGGTTCGCCTGTTCAAGCACAAAATCCATGTTTTTTTTTTATTGTTATTCTGCACTTTTCTGGCTAAAGTAGTAGCTCAGCAGTCAAGCAACAAATTGCTAAAGTTCTACGTGTGGCGTGACTGATTTGCACTTGCAGCTGGAGCTGTATCTGCACTACACTACACTCCATAAATTGTGAGTTCAGAATCAATAAGCCACAGCAGCAGCATTCGAGCTAACAACAACAGCATTTGACTAATCCAGCTAAGCACCGCAAATGCCAAAGTCATCAACAAATCAGCACAGCTAGCTAACTGTGACTCAAACTAAACATAAACAAAAACACCAAAAGGGGGAACGTTAAGAGCGAACAACTATATACCCTAACACAATCTAAGGGAGGACAATTTTAATATATCAGATTTATGATGGCTTTATTAGGGGTTTCATTCATTTGGAAGTCGCAAGCTTCTATAGGATGCAAGGAAGATAGGTTAACACCAGTCGAGAGTGGCCTTCATTGATAGTTTCGATAGTAGCCATTAGTTTCATCTCAGTTTTGTTGAGCTTGAAAATATCGAGCTGCAACTAATAAACCGATTTGACTTTTTAACAATCATATTTTAGAAATTTTTTCCAAACTATTTCGAATAGTTGTTATATGAATAGAATGCTTTTTCTGATTCTCGAAGCCGCGGTCCTTTTCTTTCAACTGTTCAATAATGAAAGTATATTATTGCCTAAAATTCATTTTTTTAGAAATAGATCAGATTTAAGCCTTGTTTATTTTGTGAATAATTAAATGTTAAGAAACTCTGAACAAATAAAAACTGTCGTTCCTATGTTTCCAACATGTATTCCCAAAACAGTCACATAACCTTTACTACCCCAAGCGCTACACTTTCCTAAGCGGTTGCTGGCCGCTGTCCGGAAATGAGACCGAAGGGACAAACACGTGGGCCCCACGCAGGTGGCCCAAGCACGTCAGTTGGCTCCTTTCCTGTATGTTTTGGTTGGTACTCACCTGCTGGCGTTATTGTGTACACGCAGGGTTCGCTTTGATCGCCAATTTCGTTGCTGGCCCAGCACAGAAGCGTGCCGTAGTCCTGCGAATGCAAAAGAAGAAGCCACAGTAAGCCGAGTGCGTGTGTGTGTGTGTGTGTATGAATGGGTATGTGCAACCGCACATGTGGGGCCTGGCATGAGTGACAATGGGGAATGGTATTTCGTTGGCTTAATTTATGCATGCTATGCAGCGTTGGCGACACACCTTTTCGGCCTTAATTGAAAATTCAAAACCGCAATTCGTTTGGAAAATTATGTACCGCCCATTCGAGGAGCCCATGGACTGATTTATATGGCTCGAGTGTGAGAATAAAGTGAAATGCTTGGGCTGCCCGCGAGTACTTACATTCTCCACCATGGGCGTGTAGTGGGCGACGCTCCGTCCACGGTCGACGGCAACCAGCGATGCGGGTATATCAGCCGTCTCGCCTTGTGTTGCATTGAATTTCCAGATGTATGTTGCATCCGCGGGATTCGCATCGATTTCGCATGCAACTTTGACGGTCTCATGGCGGCCCGAACTGTAAGTTGTACGTTGCCCGGCACGGCACACAGGCGCAACTGGCAAATGGAAAAAGAAGAATAACAAGTATAAGAAGAAGAAGGCGGTGGAGCATGAGTACGTGTCTGTGCAAATTGGCAAGGCTTTTGCATAATTAAAGCAAAACATTGCGAAACTTGAGTTCAATTTGTGTTTAAATGGCACAGCCAGCACTGTCCAACAAAAGCACTCGTTCGCCTCGCTCTGCTCAACTTGCCGTGCAGCAACTGAAACAGACAATTGGCAACTGGCAGCTGGCAGTTGGAAATTGGCAACTTTTTATAAAGTCTTAACTGTGCTGTTCTACATACTCTTACATATAGAAACTATGATACGACTGCAGCTGTTACTGTCGCTATTCATTTGCGCCTAGAAGCAGGCAATGGAAATTTTCAAAGGCAACCAATTTTGTTGTTATTTAATATTTATTTAGAAAATACTGTGCTGTCTATTTCGTAACTATTGTTGTTTGCGCTTTTTATTGGCATCTATTTAAGTCAATGGACGACAGTTGAATAGAACTTGTGCAACATGTTGCACATTAAT